TTTTCTCAGGTGCTTACTGCAAAAATGGTGCGGGGGTAGGATCTGACTTCCTCTAACTTCTTAAGAGGTGAGGAGGATCAGGATCAACAGCCCAAGGCTGATTCCTATGAGGTGGAAGTCAGACATGCCTCTATCTTCCAACCTTATTACCAGTTCTTATACCAACCTCCTCTCCCATGGGACCTTCTGCTTCTCTCCTAGGTCCAATAATCTATAGCAGTGGTCACACAGAATTCACGGACAATATTCACGATTATGGGGTTTATTAGGGAAGTAAAATGTTACATACAATTCAAGATCAGAAACAATTCAGGATGCAGTTGTCTGATCAAGATAACATCTTCTCAGCCATACAGCCACACTTCTCTCTGGCCTCAGCCTCTCAGCTATGTGGCCCCTTGGCCTCTGCCCTGCTTGGACAAGTGTTGCAAAGCTCTTTTAGCTTTGCTGATAGGTGCCCAGAGAGGCACCCTACTCTGCCAGAAAGCCTCTTGCCAAAAGGCATTCAGCTTTCTTGCTCCATGGGCTGGAAAGCCCACCACTCTGTCTCATGCTGGTCTCTTGGTTCTGCTGCTTCCGGTGTCACAGCTCTCTGTCTCCTGGATTGGAAAGATTCAGTGCAGGGATCTTGAGTCCAAAAGACAGCTCCACTCCTGGCTCTTCTTTCTTGATGGTAGATATCCCCTTCCTGCCTCTGGGATGGCTCCTTTCAAGCCTAGTGAGATGGCAAAACTCATGTTAGGTTTCCATAACACATCATTTTGCATCTTCCCACCCCCATGAGGGTGTCATGCACCTTATTTACATTATTAGCAAACTATCCAATTGCCTTGGTGGGCCACAAAACCAAAAACCAAACCCACTGCCATCGAGTTGATCCCAACTCACAGCAACTCCCATAGGGTTTCCAGGGCTGTAAATCTTCACAGAAGCAGACTATCTCATCTTTCTCCCACAGAGGAGCTGGTGAGTTTGAACCCACAGCCTTTTGGTTAGCAGCCCAATGCCTTAGTCATGGCATCACCAGAGCTTCCTTTTGGTGGG